ACAGCGCTTTGTTTAGCGTCGATAGCTCGACAGCTAAGGAGTGCAAGTACTCATGGTGGTTCTTTCGAGAATGGTTCCTCGATCGAACTTTGAATAGTCTTCGGTTTCCATGGCCACTTATCAAGCCATCTCTCATATCCCTCACCTTTTCGTTTCTTTCTTTTGTAGGGTGGTTTCTTGTTTTGAACGCGTGGTGGTGGTTCTGGATCTATTCTGCGTATCAGCTTTTCAAATTTGGGCTTTGTTATTTCATCCACCACCTAAAAAGTTAATCGTACCCTTTTAACAGTAATGATGACCCTAGTTTCACGGTCCTCGAATTTTCTTTTTCTATGAAGGGCCTTAGACAAAGGTGCATTGGTGTGTATATTTTTCAATACCTCCACATATGTTTTGGATTGGGAGTTTACCTTAACTTCTGCAAACCTTTGTGGGAAAGAAATAGGTGGGGTATAGGGAGGAGGAGCAACGATACGTGCTTCCTTCTCTACCTCTTCGACAACCTCCCTTTCGGTTGGTGTCGGTGGATTTTTCTCAATATGTATGCTTTTCTCACAAAAACTCTCCTCAGGCTCATCATCAATCTCCCTAGGATCTTCTATTTGTTCTTCATTAACGGTTGTTACAACATTCACATGTCCTTCTGGGAAGGGTCCTAGAGGTGTTTGTCTAAGCAGGGAGGTTTGAGTCTCCAAAGTCTCGCTGTGAGTTGCGAGGGAATCGACAATAACGTTCATTTGCCTAAGGTCTTCATTAATTTGGAGATGTTGTTTTCTAAAGTCTTCGTTTTGGAGAGTTTGTGTTTCCACAAAGCGCTCCATCATAGATTCTATCCTAGAGTGAGTAGACGTCTCATTGAATTCTTCTAGTAGTAGTTCGAGGTTGGATGTATCAAAATCTCGCGTTTCCTCAAAACATTGGTAGTCGTCATCATAGAGGGAATTTGGGTGAGAGTGCGTAGTATTGAAATCTTCTAATAATATTTCGAGGTCGGATTTAATCGGAATTTGTGGTTCCTCGAAATATTGGGGGTGGTAGTTATAATATGGAGGGTGGTAATTATAAGGGAAATATGGGTTATACATAATGATTTAGATAAGAGTGCCTTAGTCTATACTATGCAACAACGGAATCACAATATTGACTGTTGATCCCCGGCAACGGCGCCAAAAACTTGATCGCTCCACAAGTGCACGGAAATATCGAAGTAATATAAAAGATTGTCGAACCCACAGAGACCAATGTCAATCTACCGTTATCTATTATTACGGTGTAAAGCTAAGGCTATTGGAATTACAAAAATTGAATGCGAATGAAATTAAATGCAAAAGAAATAAAGAAAATTGGTTTAGAGAAATGCGGTAAAGGATATCGGTATGCAAAGACTTAGTTATCTGGGATTCGACAGGTCACCGATGCTTCTTACTCTTTGCAAACATTGTTCAGAAGAAAATAGTGATCTGAAGACTTTCGTCTCACGATGGTTGTTGACGCTAGTCATAATTCTAAGGGCCGAATGTACGTTTTCGCTGTCCCATTCGGGGTTAAAACTACTTTTTGGAAATCTCTAAGTTCTAATTCATTTTAAAGTGCTTTCGCTGTTATTAAAATGAGTGACTAGTGTTTACTATCTGATCTTGCCGCAGCTTTCGCTTGTTGGTTCGTATCTTAATTAATTTCCCACTTTCGTGGCAAAACTACTTTTAAATAAGTTCTCGCTTTCGCGACGAAGTTTATTCAGTAAATTAATTTTAAACACTCAGACCATAAATTACTTTTGAAAAGAGAATTTTCAACCGGTTATTATCAAACCCCTTTCGAATTATTACTACATATCGATTACTTAAATTTAGCTAGACATGGATTTGGGAAAGGTAAAACATAAATGAAAATAATAAATAATAATATGCAACATAATAAAACTGGAATTACGATTGAAATGAGAAACCTGTAAATATTCCAATTGGCCTTTGGGCAGATCCTCCACAGATGTTGGTAGGATTCTACTTTGGCGAGAAATAAAAGGTACAGGAAGAAAATACAATATTCTGAACTGAAGGAAAATGGAAAGGAAAATAAAAGTAACGATAAATAACTTTGATGGAACTTTGGCAGAACTTTGGGATGAAGAATCCACCCCTTTCTCTGTGAATCTCTTGTCTATTTATAGGAGATGTTTCTTATCTCAACTTCCTGAGATCATGCGTGAGATATGGAGAAAGTGGTAGTAACTTCCAGTAGTGGGCAGTGAGTGGAGAAAGTGTAGTAACTTCCAGTAGTGGGCAGTGAGTGGAGAAAGTGTAGTAACTTCCAGTAGTGGGCAGTGAGTGGAGAAAGTGTAGGAAGGATTTAAGTTGAGATTGATCGTGAATTCTGATTCTGCGTTTTTTGTCTGCGTGACGGTCGTCATGGACCTGTGACGGTCGTCACAGCAGCAGAATCCGTATCTGCTATTTTTCATCTATTTTTCATCAGTTTTTCATCTGTTTCTTCTCCTTTTCTTTCTTTAGTCCAAATTCTCCCCAATCTACAAAATGAAGTAAATTAATCATATAATAGAACATAAATCAAGATAAATTAATAAAAGTCACAAATAAATGCATGTAAATCAAGCCAAATAAACGATATGATTTCGCGTTATCAACGGCCATGGATATCACTTCGAAGCTCTCTCAAATCGGAGCGGCGGGACACGAAAAATACGCGGTTGCAATCGAAATCAAGAGCTCTTCACAACAGTACCAACAGTTCAAAGAAACACAACAAAAAGTAACGGATCGAAACTGACGGTGAAGCTCAATCTACCTTCTAATTCAGGTAAACGGTGAAACAGAAACTCTCTTCTTCTTCTTCTTCTTTGAATCTGACCGAATTTGAACTAGTGTTGTGTGATGTTGAAATGTATTGTGGAAAGATTATGAGATGTGGTTGCTATTGTTTGGAGCTGTTGTGAATTGATGGAGTTGTTGTGTGTAATTTATTTTTTTGAAGAATTTTGGAAGATATATGAACAAGAGTGATGAAGAATGGTGAATTTGGAATTGATGGAAGTAGCTCGGTTGAAGGTTGAAGATGAGTATTGGCAAGTTTTCAGCAGGGATTTTATGGCTTTTCAAGCTTGAGAAAAATGAAGAGGTATGCACCCTATTTATAGATTGAGAGTGAGTGAAAAATGGTTGCTGTTTGAAGCTTTTTTCTGCGTTTTGGGATGCAAGTTATGTGTGACCTGTGGTTGAAAAATCTTCATGTCGTTTTTTATTTGCAAATTAAAGCTCATGACGTCGTTTTGCTTTTTCTCTTTCAGATCACTTACATGACGTGGATGGTCACTTTTTGCAATTGGCTCATGGCTTAGAAACAACTTTAAAAGCTTGTGGGGTCAGCTTGGAGTGTAACAGCTGGAGTTATATTAACATGGCTTGGAAATATGGCTTAATATGAAGCTTCTCATGGGTACGTTTTGACTATGATAGCGGTGTTTGTGCCTTCATATCTCAAGTTTAAAAATGTATCTGTCAAAATACTCTCCAATTTAAATCTTTGACTTTGCTATTTCTGCTTAATTTGTCTCAGTAGCACAGCTTATCATTGTGAAGCCTCATCAATAAATTCAGTTCTATAAACTGCAGGATAAGGCTCCTGCGCATCTTCTATGTATTTCCTCAGCAATAACCCTCCATATCCCATCATCTCCATTGTCATTTTTTTGTCAAAGACTGGCATGCCTTGTCCGGATAATGTTTAAGTGCAGCTTTCCGATAGGCCTTCTTGATTTCAGATATTGAAACAGATGGTTCAACTCACAAAATAAGATACATATCAAGAGGGATCTCCTTTCTGTCTTCTTCTTCTAGTTCAGAGAGCCGAATGTGATATTGTTTCAAATCATTGGTATAATTAATTGATCTATCAGATGTTCCTTTCGCCACCAGTCTATATATGGTTACAGGCTTTGTTTGACCAATTTGATGATAACGATCTTCTGCCTGTCTATCAATCTGTGGATTAAAATCCATGTCATGAATCACAACTGTATCAGCTCCAGTTAAGTTTAAGCCCTGTCCACCAGCTCTTGTGGAAAGCAAGCATGCAAAAATCGAAGTATCACTATTGAATGTGTCGACTATTGTTTGCCTCTCTGTCATTTCTTGAACAATGATTCTCATAGACCTCAAGGAAAGTACTGTAAATCAAATCATCTTCTACCATGCGTACCTGGGACCAAACAGGAATAATTATTGGTGTGTGAATGCATATGTGACGGCGTCTGCTGAAAAGCAAGCCCTGCAAACAACTGAGAGCTCTTTCTTGAGAGATTGAGGAACTTCTGCAGTTGTAGCTGTTGGATATTTGTAGCAGCGGTGGAGCAACGCGTTAACCACAGCCAAAAGCCTCTCCTCAGGCAGAGTAACAAATCTTGAACCAATTTTTGTTAATAGAACCTCAAGTTCATTGGCCAAATTGGCGTGCTTTCCCCTAATCTCTTGGGCTGGTGAAGTAAGAGTATAAACTGCTCAACTCTCATATCATAATCATTCAATTAATCAGTCTTCTTCCCAGGGTTGTGTTGGACAATATTTCTCCATGGACTCCTTTTTGCGTTCAGGATCAAGGCTATTTCTAAATCCAAGAAGAGCATAGTGTACAGCACTTGCACAGGCCGAAGCAGGAGCTATGGCAGCTGCAGGAACTGCTCGAATAGCAGAAGCCAAGGCAGGTCCTGCACCTGAACCGCGCTGGAACGTTTTCAAGGGGTTCTGAACTAACACCGAAGCAGATTTACCCAGGCCATCACTGAGACTCTCACAAGCCTGTTGAATTCCTTGTTGGGCGTCCTTAGGTTGATTAGATCGAGCGTCAGTCTTTGATTTATCATTTACAGGCAAAGCAACTGAAGAAGGTATGCTTGAAAGACTATATTCTGCTTGGACAAGAAAGTCGTGTGCTCCAGCAGCTAGATGAACTCCAAGTGCAACCTGTTGATTTTGTATTACAAATGCTTATTCCAGGGAAGGACGGAGCAGCTTCATCATTTGAGTATCCGCGAAGTCATAGCATATATGTTCGAGTATATCCTTATCAGCGACAAATCCCAATGCCCGAAACACAATAATGATAGGAATTTCAGTTCGAATGTATGGAAGAGTAGCACGTATATATTGCCCTAAAGAACCCCCTTTGGAACTAGCTCGAGAGAGCATGCGCACAAACATAGTACTAGGTGGTCTATTCTGTGATTCTGCCATGGACCGAACTTCACCCACATAAGCATACTTATTAGGTTGCCTCTTCTTGAAGATGTAGACATGATTGGTGCTCATCTTCTCCTGAGCAATCAGAACCTTCTCACTGCCATTAATAATGAAATATCCTCCTTGATCATACGGACACTCTCCAAGCTCAATCAAATCCTTCTCTGAATTCTGATACAATGTGCAATAACTAGACCGGAGCATTATAGGAACCTTGCCAATGAAAACTTTAGTGAAATCCTGAGTCTCATGGCTCTCTTCACCATCATGTCCTTTTTTAATGATCCTCTTAGAAACATCAACATACAAAGGAGCCGAATATGTAAGATTCTTTAATCTAGCTCCCTTAGGAAACAATGTGGCAGTTCTCCATCAGATTCTGTCATCATAGGCTTACTCAAATAAATCTGACCAAAACTTATCTTGTAAATTAACTCTGCAGCATCGGATTGGTGACCTGGATTATGCTGAGACTCAGGTCGAATCTCAATATCAGCAGATTCATCTACAATTTCCTGCATAGTGTTTTCAGTCTTCTCCATTGAGTGTCGGTTCAACTTAATGCATGGGAAGCAGTCAACCCGGTTATCCTTGGCTCTCTCAAAGTCTAATGTAACCAAAGCCACAAAAGAAATGATTTGTAGAAGGAAGTCCAGCAGAACCGCTAAAGCTGCAATCATCGAGAAAACACGGCATGCTGGCATAGAAACAAATGATCCTACAGCAAATGCTAGAACCTCGGATAAGCTGGCGAGTGTTATGGATGGTCCAACTTCCCCCATTGCATTGCTTAATTTGGAAAATGCTTCCACCTGCAAAAATTCAGGCAAAACCTCTGCACTTGAAGCAGCATAATTTGAAAGCCTTTCCATTAACTGGGATAGTACTGTCTTGATGTCGACAGTTGGCTGAAGCTAAGGGTAAGCACCCAACAACACATCAAGAGTTTGCAAGTGATATTCATCAGGGAAGACTTGAATTATGCAATCCATCAAGTAGAATTGGGCTATCTCATCTTTGCAATTCACAACCTGTTCTAGTACTCTAGGCAGTACAACATCTTTGTACATATCAAGGTCAACACCCTCTATCTGACTGAGAACGTGGAGATTCTTTCCAACAAGATCTCGCAGCTCACTCCTTTCCTTTTCTCACTTCTCCTTCATCCGGGAAGGCCCCTGATGTTGCATCCGCACCCAAAGTTTGTTCATTTCTGTGAAATTTTGGAGTACAAACTCTACAGCATCTGATACAGTATTTGCATCCCCTTCATACTCAGAACCAATATCTGGCAATTTATCCTTACTAACTTGAGAAAGATAACTTCTAAGAAAGAGTCCACGAACAGGGTTTTGAATGCCACGGCATATCTCCACAAGATCCTTAAGAACATCCTTAGCAGGAGCTTCCTTTGACTTGATGTATACAGATCCTACTGTACAGAGGAGATACAAGCGAGGCAAAATGTTGCCTGCATGGTGGACAAGCTCATAAAGATCAATAATGGAGCAACCGCGACGAGTCTCTTCCTCAAAGAACATCTCCAGCTTCCTCAATTGATCAAATGCGCGCATGTAGAGTTCATAGTATTTGTGAGGAGAAAGCTTAGAAGTCCTAAGCTCAGAAAGCATCTGATCCGAATATTTCAAAGCATCTCTAAGATTGTTCAAGTCCAATGCGCGGTGCATGTAGAATGAATTCTGCTGAAGGCCGGCAATTCCGGCGGCGAGAAACTTCTCTTCGTCTTCGGTTCCGTCTAACATTATTTCACCCGTCGGTTTTTCCTTTCTCTTCCGTCTACATTTGGGCATTTGTATTTGGACTTTGAACTTTGACAATTGTCTTGTCTTAATGAAACCTTGACAACTTTGAATTTGGGAAATATTAGTGATGATGAATGCCTTACATTTTCAAGTAACTTGCATTCCGAGTAAGCCATATGCATGTCTCTTCCAAATTTAATTTGAATCAAATTCTTGGATGAAATAAATCTTTAAGGAATTGATGTCATGATAAACCCAAATATCAATGCCTTTAATCATGCTTTAGAATCACTTGGAAATGGCACACTTGAATGAACACTTTGTACTTGCATCCCAAAACCAACATCTTGATCGAACATCCACCAAACTTGACTTGTACAGACAAAACTCTGAATCTTCGGTTAAAACTGAATCTCTTTGAATTTATCTGAATTAATCTTTGGGAAAATAAATCCATAGATGAGCACAACCTGGACTGATGAACCTTGATCATAATAGTCATGGACCAGACTTCTCATAGAACACTGCTTGATAAACCACTGGATTTCAATACAAGACAATTTGACCTTGAACAAATCTTATTTCCTGAGAAAATATCCCACTGCCACAAACCAATTTGCATTTGAAGCAATCTCTTGATAGTTTGACCAAGATGAGGTCAAACTTTCATTTGATTTAGACTTGAATGAATGTCCTTGCCATCAATCTCCTTGCAAAACCCTAAACACACAGAGAAGAAGAAGAAACAAGCAAAAATTGAAAAAATATTTTTGGTATTTTAGTTAGAGGTTAGTAAATAGAAACAAACATAAAGTAAATAAGAAACACAAGGGTGAGAGAACCAAAAAGTATGATCTTGTTTGTGTATGTAATGATACAAATGAAATGTGGGATCTTAGGGGTAAAAATTAGGGTATTACATGTATAATATGAACATTTATCACCTTCCCCTTTTTAGATGTTGTAAAATCTTTGGCTACCTTTGGTTGTAACCATTTGGTTTTATTCTTTCATTGTTATGTTTCCCCCGTGTTGTTGCATGCTTGTCCTAAATCTTTCTTGGTTGTTACCATGCTCTTCTTATATCTTCATCATGCTTGAATGAATACTTATGTGTATTTTAGCTTTTTTAAGTTTCTTTCCCCAAGTGATGGAACTTGTTAGTTCTCATCCAGTTTCCTTGTTATTCCCTTATTCCAAAGGAAAGGCTCTCTATTGACTTCATAGTCATAGATAGCTCTATACCCCTCCTCTTGACTTGTTTAAGTCATTATATCCTTTAACTTAGTTAAGTTATATCCATTAGACTTTGCTTTAAGTCTAGAAGACCTACCCCTTGCTAGGAGTATCCTTCAATCAGAACTTTAAGTTAGAGTTGGTTAACTTTATGTAAGATCATTTTCATGATCACTTACTCCCCTCTTGGCTTTTGTCAAAGTCAATCCCTTTGAGAGATAATTTAGACCTAGAGAGTTTTGTCAAACTCTACATAAACATTGTTATGTTTCTTCCCCTTGGAGTCTTGACCGTACTCAAGTATTCCTTGAACCCTAGTGAGGAGAACTACGGTTGCTCTGATTCCATCCTAGTCAGGATACATAGGCATAAGATGTGATATCTTTATGAGCAAACTTAGAAATTATCCTTAGGTCTTTACCTAAAGCTTTACCCTATCCTCGATCAAATAACCCTAGCAAAAAACTTAGATAACTTAGCATACACACACGCAAAAGGTTCCTATAGAGTACTACATATGTCTAGGATGTGAGATACCTACCCTAGGCATAACCAACCCCCGATCCCCGAATCTTTAACGTTGTTGTTACATCACGTAAAAGGTTTTTTCATTCTTTAACATTTCCTTTGGATAAATCAAAGCTCGATGGTGAATTTCAATGAATCAAAGATTCAAGTTAATCAATAGCTTAACATCTAATTCTTACTGCAACACTGTGCATGCTCTAGGCCTTTCTGATAGCATCGCCTGGATGCTCAATAACTTAGGCATGTCTCAATTTTACTCTATGACTAATGTTACATCTGTTAGATTGACATATGAGTTTTTGAGTTCACTCCGTTATCTTACCGACCATTCCCATTTTTTTAACCATTTATGTTAGGATGTTTAATGTAGATTATTCCCTCACCCAAGAGCAAGTTGGTGATATTTTTGGATTTCCTAGCGGTGAGACGTTCTTCACTCAAGCACCCCTAGAGAGTGAGTGGGAGGCCGATGCTTTTAACTTCTAGTATCAAATCACTAACACCCACACCACCATTTGGGAAGGCATGAAGGCTAACACCATCCATAACCCAGCCATTAGATACCTTCATCGTTTTTTATCTTCCATCATATTTGATCGAGAGAACACCGGAAATGTGAATTCCAAATATTTATTCCATATCAATTGTGCCCTCTCCCAAGCTAAAGTGAATCTAACACCATTTCTCTTAGCACACATGCTTTATGCCAGAAATAGAAATTGTGGCCCTATTTGTGTCGGCGGAATTATAACTGCCATAGCTTGCTCACTAAACTTACACAAGTTAGAGAATGTTGAGAGTATGCCTTGACTTTATGATAATTTAGACTATTGTTGTTCTATGCGACTTGTAAAGTTCTTGCCCAATGGCAAGTTTCATCTGATGGTTCGCACCAAAAAGGTTAGAGGTGTCACATAGCTCTGCTCTAAGCGCATTAATGTGAGCGTTAGTACTAACTGGATATTTGACCTTGACACACCCGATTTAGAGTAGGAGAGAGCTAATAGGCATTTTCACACTGTCATGGGACGCACTGCTCCACAGACTAGGACTCATCTCGTGCTTCTGATGCACCCGGACCTAGTACCCGCACCCACACTCCACCTTTTGTTGCTGATCATTTTGCAGGTACATATCAGTCACCCCAGGAGTATGATTACATTTCTATGAGGAGTGCCCTTGGTGATATTTTGTCCGAGATGAGGTACAGGAATGATATGGAGGCTGATCGTAACCCGATGCTTATGACTTTGCAGAGACAACAGAAGGAGCTAAGAGTCATTGTTGACCACATTAGCCAGTAGCGGCATGACTACTTTGAGAGGACTCAGCACGATCTTGGTGACCTGATCGAGGAGATGGGTGGTTTGTGATCATAAGTTTAAGACTTGAGTGCTTACGTGCATCATGTTCCAAACCCCTTCAACAGAGGTGGTGGAGGACACCGCGACCGAGGCCGCCATCATTGATCTCACACCAGGTTTACTCAATCCTTCTTTCAGCTTGTTCCAAAATATTGAGGACAATGTTTAGTTCAAGTATGGGGGAGGAGCTTTGTCGCTTTATGTCTTTATGTTTATGTTTTTATGCTCTCTAGTTAGTTTGTTTCTCTATTTGTTTTGTTGTTTGTTTATCGAGTCATATGCGTCGTGAGTCCATTTATACTTTACATTTTCG